GCATGGCGCATGGGCGCCTTTCTGCCCCTGATGCACGGCGTGCGGGCGTTTTGCTGCCCCGCCGCACAGCGCGTGGGCGCTTTCCCACCCCTGACGCGCCGCGCACGGGCGTTTTGCCACCCCGCCGGGCGGCGTGCGGGCACTTTTCCACCCCTGACACGTGGTCTGCGGCCATTTTTCTGCCCCTGACACGTGGTCCGTGGGTGTTTTGCCGCCCCGCCGCGCCCCTGACGCATGGCGCATGGGCGCTTTTCTGCCCCTGATGCACGGCGTGCGGGCGTTTTGCTGCCCCGCCGCACAGCGCGTGGGCGCTTTTCCACCCCTGACGCGCAGCGCACGGGCGTTTTGCCACCCCGCCGGGCGGCGTGCGGGCACTTTTCCACCCCTGACACGTGGTCTGCGGATGCCAGAACGGATTAATGGTAATTACGTTGAACCTTATGGGAAAATTTGCTTCGGGGTGCGACCAAATTTGGAGGGCAGAACGGATAAACCGTATTTACATTGAACCTTATGGGAAAATTTGCTTCGGGGTGCGACCAAATTTGGAGGGCAGAACGGATTAACGTACCTCAAGGCAGAGTTCGCACATCGAGGTAAATTTTTGGGGCCGGAGCTGGTCGTATCTCGAAAATTTTGTAAGTAGGGGTGTTCGTAAGTAGAGGTACCACTGTACTTGTACCTCAAGGCAGAGTTCGCACATCGAGGTAAATTTTTGGGGCCGGAGCTGGTCGTATCTCGAAAATTTTGTAAGTAGGGGTGTTCGTAAGTAGAGGTACCACTGTACTTGTACCTCAAGGCAGAGTTCGCACATCGAGGTAAATTTTTGGGGCCGGAGCTGGTCGTATCTCGAAAATTTTGTAAGTAGGGGTGTTCGTAAGTAGAGGTACCACTGTACTTCCAAGTTTTGCTCAGACTTTTTTTAATATTGAAAACTGTATTCAACCTTCCTGAAAGTGAGCTGGTGTCATCAAAAGTAGAGAATATAATTGACAGAGGGTAGATGAGAGAAACTAACAAGTCTTTTTTTCAACTCTGTTTTGTAACTGTGAAGGGGACAGGTAGTTTTGTTAGTAGACTTAATATATTAGTATATAAAGTCTTCAGAATCACACTGATCATTTACATTTTTGTGGCAGCTTTGCTCATTTATATCTAGTATCTTCAGATCTGCCTTTTCAAAAAATCTTGCTTTTGTGATTGTGAAAAATTCTTGTCAATTAAAGTTTGAACTTTGACCAGGAAATACTTTAGTTCTTATCATTAATTTGTGTTTTAAGAATATATGTTAGGGATCCTGTACCCTTTATTATTATGTTATCCTTTTCTGATGCAATTCTAAATGATAGTAAAATTCATGTGAACTGTCTCCCACTAGCATACTTGCACTCTTATTCAAGGGTCATCTATAGCTTGATCCTTCTGTTTAGCAAACTAAAAAGAATTCAGATGATGATCATCTAGAGAAATAAGAGCTTTTATACTGTGGGGCTTGCAAAGTGATGAAAAATTTTCCTTATTTTCACAGACCAAAAGACAATCCCTGAAAATATGAGCTTGGCAACATTCACAAAATCCTGGATACTTTGGAGTTGTGCTGCCATTGGAAAAACTGGCTTCATTCTGAGGGGAAATGCTTTGTCTGCAGCAAAGAGCATGCCAAGGACTGAAATGAGATTGCATTCTGGAGGATCCCTATCATGAATCGATACACAACTATCAAACAGCTGGGAGATGGGACATATGGCTCTGTCCTCCTAGGAAGAAGTATTGAATCAGGAGAGTTGATTGCCATTAAGAGGTAAGAGACCTTTTTGAATTGCTGTTCTTTTAATCCTACATAACACATTTAAGCATTAGATAACAACACGTGTTCATGTTTCTGAAACTGTGGTTCAGACTTTGCTTATTTTAACACAAGGCTATTGCTTCTAGTTGTCAAGGCAAAATTGATCCATTAGTTGGGAAAATCGGTACTTAATTTATTTTGAAACCAGTAAAATAAAAACTCAGATTTTCAATTATACTAACCTTGAGGTTGATTTTCAAACAGTTGGGCATGCCAAATGGCTTTTTGACTATTTCCCCTCTTAGATAATTCAATTTTCACACCACATGAAAATCTGTTTTTGAAAGTCCTCTTAATGTTAGAAATGAAAACTAATGTTTGAGAAACGACCAGAAAAAACATACAGAATCAGTTACACAGTTTCGTAGATCTGTGGTTGTTATGGCTTTCTCTAGTCTTATGTCATAATGGAACTGGAATACAAATTGTGTTCAATAGTAGATTTCTTGTTCCTTCTGCAGGATGAAGAGGAAATTTTATTCCTGGGAGGAATGCATGAATCTTCGTGAAGTCAAGGTACTTGTCACTTCCTTCTGTTTCTAAAATCATTGAAGGAATTTGGATTTTAAATCAACTGTGCAATGTTGTAACCTGCATTTTGTTTTTCTAAGACCTTTTTTTTCCTGAAGTAAGTCCTATGCTGTTTCTATTTATAAATGATACTAGAAAATTGAACAGACTTTCTTCAGAATACTTCAAAGGTAAAAGTTGAGTGCTACATTTAAATTGTAGGTGATGACTGTTACACATTTGATTTGGGTGATCAGTAGTAGATGGGAAGGACAACTGGAAATTAGTGCCAAATAAAGCATGACAAATACATGCAGCTGCAGATTTCCCATCATGCACCCATGAATTAATAGGAATTTGGAATCCTGTCCATAGGATTATTGCAAAACAGCTATATGGGTTTGCAGCTCCAGTGTGACCATATCTATGCTTATAAACTTGCATTCATGTTAGGCTTCAGATAATTTTTCCTAGGGTTACTTTGAAGTCATTTGTGCTCTTCAGGTCATAGCTGCTTCATGAACAAGCTGAGGTAGGTTTGGTAAGATGCTTGTTCCTTCTCTAGCTATGAAAAGGGAGATCTACTGACCTGCCTCCTAAGACTCTTGTGAAGTTGGGTGACATATCCATTGCCTAGCAGCTGGCATGTAAGCATCTAAATGACAAAATAGCTGTTTGTGAAAAATTAACGATAATTGGCGAATCTATAGTAGGCATAATGGGAAGATGTGGAAGAAAGAATCTGAGGCTGTGCGTACAAATATGCAATGTTTGTACTGTCTTGTTTCAGAGTAGGAAGGAGTTTTGGTCAAAAGCTTATGGTTAGATATTATCTTTCCCTGCATAAACATCCCTGCAGGGAAATTGGCTTCCTTGGTGCTGAAAAGTGAGCTGTGCTAATTGCCATCAGCACACAACTTGCAGGACTAGGGCATTGTGCACATCCAGTTCTAGAGGTCTGAGTTTGATTTTTTTTAAAAAAATGGAGTCATATTTAAATTTAGCAGCATGTTAAATTATGTTTCTGGAACAAAGACTCATTGTCACTTATCTTGAAGCCTGCTTTGTCACAGTGTCTTTAATAGTTTTCTGTTTTTTTTCCAGTCCTTGAAGAAACTCAACCATGCCAATGTAGTAAAACTAAAAGAAGTTATCAGAGAAAATGATAATCTGTACTTTGTATTTGAGTATATGAAGGAAAACCTTTATCAGTTAATGAAAGAAAGGTATGTTGCTTTTCTCACAAACACATTTCAGTGGCATTACCTGAAAAAGAGGGAGAGATCATTTGGCTTCCCAAATGTTCTTAAACTAAAACTCCTAACAGCCCTCCACACACTGGTAATGGATGATAAAAATTATAATTTGTAGCTCTCAGCAAGGCATGAAATAAAACAACCAATTCAAGGGTCAGCAAAACCATTAGGTTAGGAGATAGAACCAATAATTTAAATTATTCTGGAATGAGAAGTTTAGCTTTCTAGTACTGTAGAATGCTAAGCTATGCTCTCTTACTGGAGAATTACTTAATGAGAACTGCTCAGAATATATATATAAAGATAAATAAAAGGTGGGATACAGTAATAATAATAAGTCCTATACTTCATGTAGCCTAGGCAGAATGATATTCTCAGGGCTTACTTTAAGTTAGCACTTCTGAGTAATGGTAACACCAGCTGTGTTGAACTGCCATTTCAGTTTTCCATCATCCTTGGAGTCCAGGCTAGAGATATTTATTTATTTAAAATTTATTTATTGGGCTTGCATCAGCAGTAGACTCTGCTGTAATCTCACCAGGTGCCCAAGGATATCAAGAGCTGATGCCAATGCTCAACTAGTAGGCTGGCACTCTGGATACCATGGTATTTCCATCCTTGTTCTGAAGTTGAGTAAGTTACTGTAAGAATCTTCCATCAGTTGCTTATAAGACATAAATAACAGTAAAGCTGCATGTAAGTATCCTAAATAAATAAATAGAAGAAGACTTTCTCTGGAACAAAACCATTTCAGAATGTATAAGCTAATCTGATTGTGTTCTATTTATACCCTCCCAATATATCTGCACTCAGGAAGGGGCTGCAGATAAGAAACCCCATATGTGAATATAAACTATGACTTTTGTTTCTGCTTTACAGGAACAAATTGTTTCCAGAATCCACTGTCAGGAATATTATGTATCAGATTCTTCAAGGCCTTGCATTCATACATAAGCACGGTAAGATTCCTTCTGGATAGAGAAGAAGGAATATCTCAGAAATATTTGGGCAAATATTTCTTGTTTGGGTTCAGGGAACTAAACAATATTCATCACCAAGGTTTTTGAAAAGTTTTCTAAACTGTTTACTATTGTTGAGTAAATAGTTATTTCTTGATGATAGTTCTCATAGAAATCAACAGAACTGACTTCAGGTCAGCTTACATAGAGCTACACTGTACAAAATGTGTTATTTACATCTGATTTAGCTGTTCTGTTATTAAACTGATCTCCTGCTATGTTAAAGGATTAAGAGTTGGCCATCCCAACAGCGTTGCCATTTTCAAGTCAAGCTGTCAGGATTGTTGCAATGGGAGAATATAGCAAGTTGTGTTGCTAGTAGTCTGTAGCATCTCTGATGCTATTAATTGCTACAGGCTGTAATAGTAACAACATGTTAGTATCATTCTAAATTTTAAATATTTAATGTATAAAACCTTGGAACCTTTCAGTCTATACATAGTAAATGTAACTATTTTTGCTTTCTGTTCAGAAATACTCATTTTCATGCTTATTAAAACAAAAGTAAAACATTTGTTCTGATCTTTACCTCAAAACATAAAGCATAACCAAACAAAATTTTCTAATTTGAAAAAACCCTCAGCCTAGTGAAAGGAAGAATGGAGGTCAAGTATTACATAAGTGACATTGCAGTTTGAGGTTTTCTGAGCAGTTCATTTTTGTAATTCTTAAGAGTTCTATAATGTGAAAACTAAGTAGAGGAATTAGAGAAAAGGCTAACCAGTGTTTGCACTTTCAAACAGGTTTTTTCCATAGGGACTTAAAACCTGAGAATCTCCTTTGCATGGGACCAGAACTTGTGAAAATAGCAGATTTTGGGCTTGCACGTGAAATTAGATCCAGACCTCCCTACACAGACTATGTATCTACGCGGTGGTAAATACTTAAGTTAGAATCGTAATATTTGGATAAATGTGATTCTTACTGACACATTTATTTGAATTTCCTTTCTTGTTTCCATCAGGTAAGTTCAATTCCATTGAGGTGGAATCCAGCTTTGAGCATATACAACAGGGCTGGTAAAAAAGGGCAGTACCCCTCCTTTCTGTAGCAATCTCTCCAGTCCCTCAAAATGTTACATGGGGGACCAGGAGGCCCAGCTGAATTGGTTAGCTATGCAGAAGAAAGCTGGCCCCAATATGAGCACTTCCATGTCAGGACTTCAGTATTTCAAAATCAGCTCTGTACCACTGATTCCATGATGTTAGCTGCTCTTGAGAGCTCTGCCAATTTGTTCCTGGCTCAGCCGTAGTGAATTTGAAACTTTGGGAAATTTTATCTTTGGGATAAAATTGGCATTACTTGCCTAAAGGACATGGTGGAGCTTTATTTGCAGCTGATCTTAGCAGCGCACCTTGAAATTAATGAAAAGTAGGCTAATCACTCTAGCAGATATGATGGACGAAGCCACTCTATTCATGGAATTGCTTGTTTTGTCAGAACTTCTCAAGTTTTGCACAACTATACAGAATATTGCAATTGTAAATGGGAATAGCATTTCTGTCTGGAGAAAATTCTGAAGATTCTTTCACCAACAAAATTTTCCTTGCCTGCTAGCACAGGGACTTCAACATTTTCAATAGAGAAAGCACTTACTAACTTGCAGTGAATCCAAGGCATTTTATATTCGCTCCACATTTGTAGGCTCCACTGATTTTATTTCATCCAGTTTACATGGAATTGATTGATTGATTGATGTGCCATCAAGTTGCTTTCGATTCCTAGCAACCACAGAGATAGATTTTCTCCATGACTACATGGAATTAGAGATGGTTAAACAACTACAGATGCATAATGGTTCATGGGTACTTTGTGGTATACAACTTCAGAGGCTGTGTTCACTCATTGTCTTAAACCATGTTTTGCTTAACTGCGGTTTATTGAATAAACCACTGTTGTTTAATTTTACCCCAGAGGCTGAATCCTAAAACTGGTTTCCAATCACTTGGCTGGGTACTTTGCACTACCATAATCCAGTTTGTCCACTTTTGACTTAGCACAAGGCATGAACCATATTTAGTCCTTCCATAAATTCTGTTTAACAATGTGATAGATTAGAACTATGTGTGAATCCAGTGAATGGCTTAACACAATATATGAAAAAGGCCATAGAATGAGATGAGAAAACCCTAAGCGCTGATGGAACAGTAAGTAAGTAAGTAAACAGTTCAGTGTAATTACTATAGCTAGTTACCTTGAGTAAGGAACGGGCAGTGTGTGGGCAGTGAGAGTTGGACATTCATGATGTCGGTGTCCTGTATTGTATACTGCTTTGATTGCTGTAGTTCATTTAAAAAAAAAAACTGCTGTTTTGCTTGATTTTGGCTTTCAGGTACAGAGCTCCTGAAGTACTCTTGAGATCCACTAACTATAGTTCTCCCATTGATATCTGGGCCGTTGGTTGCATCATGGCAGAGGTTTACACACTCAGGCCACTCTTTCCAGGGGCCAGTGAAATTGATACTATTTTCAAAATTTGCCAAGTACTGGGAACACCGAAAAAGGTAGCTAAATGAGAACCAGGTCTTTGTTGTGTATGGAACATTGCAGGCATGAATAGCTTCTATGGACTTTTTCTTTCTCTCAGTACATTACAGGTCCTATTACGCTATATTCATACCAGACAGACAATTAAAATGACTCCAGTTTATCAACATACAATAATGACGCGCTGTATGAAAAAACAAGAGAGCGTATATTGTATCTCTTGATCATATGCATATTTATTTGAAACTAAGTGAGTTCAGTGGGACTTAGCATTTGGGAAGAAGACATGCCGAGATTGCTCATATTTGTCTTCATTATTATTCTAATGTTTGTTTTTAAGACTATTTCCCATAAGAGTTCCTATAACTATTTCCCACTGTAATTTTTGGGCTATTCAGTATTTCTCACCAAGAAATCCCATGCATAGTATTCTTTCACCATTGTGTATATGTTTTCTTTATTTATGTGTACTTGACTTGGGGTTAGGTTAATCATGGGGTTAGGTTAACAATGGTAACTAGATTGCAGGGATTGCTGTCACTAAGCAGTGCAGTCACGCTTTACAACCACATCACTTAGCAATAGAAATTCTGGTCTCAATTGCCATCCTAAGTTGAGGACTACCTGTAGTGTGCATGTAAGGCTGCAGTAATATTACAACAATTCCCTTAACATCAGGCCTCTTTAATCCTTTTCAGAATGACTGGCCTGAAGGCTACCAGCTTGCAGGCACCATGCATTTCCGGTGGCCCCAGTGTGTACCAAATAACCTGAAGACCCTCATCCCTAATGCAAGCAGTGAGGCCATACAACTCATGAGAGATATGCTGCAGTGGGACCCCAAAAAGCGGCCAACTGCCAGCCAGGTTTGATATTCTTTTATAAACAGCTCTTTATACATAATACTTGCTGATAGCATAGCAAACCGTCTTCCTCAGGACTGAAGGAACCATCAAAGAGGAAAAGGTGCAGAACCTTTTTGCCTGCTCCTGGTTCTGACCACTGATGAGTTTGTTTTGCTACTAACCCCAGCTCAGTGTCCTTATTATCTCATGCGGGGTCAACGTAAATCTCTATATTTGCTGCTGCTACCACGTTTTCTTCAGTACTTCTTGCAGTTGTTATATCAATGCACCATCTCATTTTCTCAGAACATATGATGATGTCTACTACCTGGCTGAGCATTCAGCTCCCCACAGGGACAAACCATCCTGCCCACAGGCAGGACAAGACATGAACAGCACCCTCCCACTAATTTTTCCCCAGCAACTGGTATTCGCCAGGGATGTGCTGCACTTTGGATCCAAATCTGAAACATTTTTTCAGAGTAGTTGTGCATACTGTACCTGTTAGAAAAGAACCTTTCCCTAGGCTTGCAAGGTAGCTGCAGGATCACAGGAAAATATCCATTTGAGTTAAGTCAGTGCCAACAGTTCACTCATGCCTGTTCCTAAACATCTTGTCACACTTTTTTGCCACATCAATTCAAAAGTGTATCCTCAAGAAACTTATTTTTTAAAAAAAAATCACATAAAAATGGAAAGTCTCTGGAAACTGAATTTTGCTGCTATTATGATATCCTGATCTTTTCCTTCCCATTTCCCTTCAGAATTACAGGATACACAGCTCTGGCTATTGAGGCTGAAAATATCCCCTTATCCCCATCCATGTTTGGTTGCTTGGCCTTCTTCACTGAATAATGAATGTTTCCATTGGATTTCAGGCACTTCGATATCCTTACTTCCAGGTTGGCCAGGCACTGGGTCCGTCTCAGTGTATTCGGGAGTTGGGAAAGCAACAGCGAGACCTTCCTGATAAAGCCCAAAGCCACCTTAAGCCCATTCCACCAGCACCACCTCCACCTAAAGCACAAGTTGGCCTCTCATTGAGACCATGTCAGCAGAGCCATTCCTCCCAATCCCTGACCTACCCATACAAAACGGACTCCTCAATGAGTGACCACTTAAAGGAAGCCAAGCCAAGCCAGGTGGCCTTGCCAGAAATTCACACCAAACTTCCTCTGCAGGTAAGAAAGAGACTTTGAACACATTGCCTTAAGATAGGTGCAATTGTTCTCTTACTCTGTTACTTTTAGTCAGAATAGCTTCTACATCAAGTTGTTCTGATTAAGTAGAGTGGAAGAAGTGCTTGGCTACTTGGAGATTTCTTTTCGCACCAGGAGTTTGCCTTTGTCCTTGGGGACCCTTCTGTCTCTACAGTTAGCGCTCCGTCAGCAGGCAGATGCCACATGCAGTTGCTCAAATGCTATTCTAGAGGAGTCTTGGGAACTAGTTACCAGAGGATGAGTTGTAGTGCATTAGAGCTGAATTACTGCAGATCAAGTGGAGTAAACTTTACTATGTTGATGAGTATTGTTTGCTGAGATACACCAACTACAAACAGTAAAGTTGCTGTTTAGTTCAGTTGCTGAGATAAAAACTGGAAAGAAGTGTGTAATCTTTAAATGGTCAGAGAACACCTAATTTAGATGAAAACAGTTGCAAAGCAGCTATTTGAGGCTATGTTCCAACAATTAAAACTATATTGCCTTGGTTTGATTACCGACCTGTGTCTTTGCTGCAGTGAATCACCAAGAATGTATTTTCCTTCTCTGCTCACGTGCTATGATCTTTTCAAAGTTATTGCGTGCCAGCATGTGGGGGAAACATTTGAAAAACATCCCCGTGTCCAAGTTTAGTGTGAGCACATCCAAACTTTATGATCAGTTCTAAAGATTTTATTTGTGGCACAGATCACACTGTTCATAGTATTCATTTTGTATTCATATACCTGTTATATGTATATGTTAACTAGGAAGAATTAATACAGTTGTACTTCCCCATCACACAGGTACTAGAGGATCATCTGAAATGAACTATGAATGTAGTAGAAACACTGATAAGATTGTACTTTGTCTCCTCAAACCAAATCAGAATCTTTCCAACCTACATCCCATCCTCCTTTTCCACTTTTCTTTATCTTCTACTTCACAAACCGTTTTGTGTTTCTCTTTTGTATCTTCCTTTTTATTTCCAGTAGGATTTTTCCATATATGTGGCTTTTTCATTACTATTTGCAAAAATGTTACTAATGTTATTAGAAATAAGAAGATACAGAAGAGAAATGGGAAAGTATTTGTGAGATAGAAGGCCAATCCACTGGAGATGTTTTTGTATACCCATGTAATGTATTGGATTAAATGTGCATAAACCATTACATTGGTTTTCAGTGTGGTTGTTTTTGTGCCCAACTTTGTTTACTGCTGTTTTTACCTCTCTTTATAAGCTTTCTTTTCATACTGTTTAATATCTGCTTTAATGTTAACTACTGTTGCCATTTCAAATAATGATCTATGCTTCATAATGCATATCAGTGGGATACCTATATCTTGTAATATATCTAACTAGTGAAACTTTTTTCTGTTGGGGAAACTGTTCTTCGATCGGAATAAATTATGTACATGTATTCTGTGTGCATATTCTATTCTGTCTGAATAATTGTTTTCATATAATTGCAATAGGTTTATTTTTTGAGAGGGAAGTAGACCAAGAGAGGGAAGTGACCATGGGACCAAATTATAGCAGTTGTAGGAGAATGAGAAATCACATGTGGAGGCCCATCCATGAGAATAATTCCCAACTTTCTTTCATTTACAAAGCAGTTTAGGCTTTCACGTACTTTTATTTTGACAGAGAACCGCCATTGCAACAGAGAAATCCAATGGCGATCTCAAACCAAAGAACCGACATAAATGGGGCCACATTACTGGAACACTAAAGAGTTCTGAAGAGTGGGATGATTTGGAAGAGAGTGATAGGAATTCTTCCCTCAGCAGAACTGACTTTAAAAACAAAGGGCAGAGTGATGAAACTCTTTGTAGGTAAGCTATGGATCTCCTTTGTGTATGTGAACACAGGCATATGTCTGTTTAATTATTTTCTTTCGTATCCCTCTAAATGTGCATGCTTATATTCCTATCCTAATGATATATTTTTTAAAAACAAGGATAGGCAACATATGGCTTCCCTGATAATGGTGAACTATTAGCCATGTTGGCTAGGGCTGATGGGAACTGAAGTTCAATAATCCTTGGAGGGCCACACATTGCTCCTCCCTGATGTATAGGCTATATTCCATTCCTGCTTAATGTAAGATAAGTAAAAGTTGAACTTAGTAATACCTTTTTCTGAGGAAATATGAATGCACAACTTGTATTGGCACCATGTTTATATTCCTACACAGCTATGAATGGCACAAAAAAAGAATCACATTTTCAGTGTCCTGTGTAAATATGTATTTGTGTGTCATATAGTGATCTTGCTTAATTAACATACATAGTTCTCTCAATATTAAGGTTAAAACTGCTTCATTCAATGGCTATTCAGCCTTATCGTTCACATGTTTATTTGGAAGCGCATCCAACTTAGCTTGGTGGAGCTTACTCCCAGGCCAACTTAGTTACATGTGTATTTATTAAGACCTGAGTCCTACTTTTTTCACTGGGAACTCCTTCCTAAGTAACCTTGCATAATGAGTATGTGTTATTGGTGGGGGAGCAGGGCAAAAGTTATCTGGGCATTGTGTGTTTTTTTCTATGTGATCTGAATTAACAGTTTTAGTAGGTGATTACTTTTTATATTTGAGCATCAGAAAAATGTGTGTTGGAATTTGCATCAAGCCCATTGCATTTAACGGTAGCTTTCTTTGGTCAGGAAAAAAACATGTGAATTGATATAGAGGATTGCGTTGTGCTGTCTGAACTTGGTTATTTGGTTTTGGTTATAGATTTGAAAGTATTTTGGATCTGAAACCTTCAGCCAGCACAGGGACTGGAAACAGTGCACCTTCCTATCTTCAACAGGACACGCCAACATGCCAAATTTCTTTAGCCAAACAACATTACTTGAAACATTCTAGGTATTTACCTGGTTAGTAAAACAAATCAACCAACCCAATCCATAATCTTTACTGTAATATTTCATAGGAAATGGCCTATAGATTTTAATTAAGGGGAGGGGGGTGCCATATAATTCACAGCCTCGAACTGCTTGTTGTATAAAGGTATGTTTTTATTTTCTTAACTCATGTGCCCAAATGGCAGCAGATGTTCTAAACAACTGGCCTTTCAGAATGTTATAAATTTGTTCTACAATGTGCAAACCATACCTTTATCATGCACTTTGAAGAAAATATTTTAACTGATTAAATCTACTCCGTTTATGATCAGTTCAAAAGCATCTAACAGTGATTACTTATGGTGTTATCCCATCTTTTCTCCAAGGTGCTCAATGTGTTTTTTGGTAGTAGATGGTTTTCTTTCACAGCAATCCTGTGAATTATGCTGGACTTCAAAGGAACAAATTGCTCAAACTGTATGTCGAGTTTCATAGCTTAACATAGAGTGGTCTTGTCTAATACTTAAAATGTATCACAAGTGTTCCTTTCCCCTTTCTAAATTGCCAAAATATAGCCTGCAAAAGACAGGCAACATTAACCTTTGTTTAGCTCCCAGAAATTAGACCACCAAATTTTG